ACGGGTCCCTAATATTTTGAAAAAAAAACTTTTTCTAAAGTATGTCAACCTGGTACTCAAAATAAGCAAAATTATATAAAAAATTTAAAAATGATAATAATTTTTTATAAAAATAATTTTTTTAGGTATAAATGCATAAAAACTATTGTTTTTAAGCTGAAAATAAAAAAAGTCAATATTTTCAGGTTTTTTGAGAATAATTTTTTTTAGGCATGTTTTTTATGTAAAATGATTATTATTTTTGAAGTTTTTATACAATATCGCTTCTTTTGAGTACCAGGTTGACATACTTTAGAAAAAGTTTTTTTTTCAAAATATTAGGGACCCGTCAAATTTTTGAGGGCCTTGAGCTACCCCTAAAAATAATTTTTGTTCAAAAAAATTTTAAACCTAGTGTTTTTGCATTAGATAAAACACATTTAGGGGGTGTCAGCAGGTTTTTCTCAAAAAAGTTGTTTTATGGACCACCCTAATATATATATATATATATATATATAAACACGCACATATATCAGGGGATATTCTAGACCATTTTCGACTGAGCTGACTGTATTTTGGCGCCAATTATGATTCCGTTTTTAATACAGCAAATTTTTTTTTTTGAAAAAATACCTACATAAAATACTACGAAAAATACCTACATACATTTTTTTTATAGCAGACGCGGGCACGGGAGGTACTGCCATCCATATAATTTTCCTAGAATAGCCCCTATATATACATTTAACATCTTCACATATTTATATATACGTGTATATGTGTATATATAATATATACACGTATACACGAAAATATAAATATGTGAAGATGTTAAATGTATATATAGGGGCTATTCTAGGAAAATTATTTGGATGGCAGTACCTCACGTGCCCGCATCAGCTATAAAAAAAATATATGTAGGTATATTTTATGTAGATATTTTTTCAAAAAAAAAAAAAAATTTGCTGTATTAAAAAAAAAAATCCTCAATTCCTGAATTTGGAATTCCTGAATATATATATAAATATATAATATATAATATATATATATATATATATATATATATATATATATATATATATATATATATATATATATATATATATATATATATATATATATATATATATATATATATATGTATATATATATACATATATATATATATTAGGGTGTCCCAAAATGACATGAATTTTTTTAGTTTTTAACTATTTCTAGATTTTCAAACAGTTTCATATGTATTTTTATTTACTAAAAGCAAAAAAAAAAAAAAAAATCAAAAAATTTTTATATTTGACCCCCCCGCCGCTCTTTTTTTTGTGTTTTTTTTCTAAAAAAATGACACAAAGGACTAAAATTATTTTTGATAATCAACTATGTTCGTATTTTATATAATTTTCTTGTGTAATTTTGTTTGATAAAACATAATCAATAGTTATTTTCAAAAAAAAATTCATATTTGACCCCTCCCCCCTCATAACCCCTTTAATGTGTTTTTGCCCTAAAACAATCCTTAATATACTCCTTTTATATATCTATTATTTATATCCAATATAATTAACTGTTATTATAATTTCAAATAGTTTTGTAATAAATAAAAATGAAAATTTATTAAAAATAAATTTTCACCTGGTTTATGACCCTTCCCCCCCCCCCCCATCCTTTCTAATATTACCTTTGTCGTATGATTTTTTTCTGCCTAAATAAGGAATTTTATAAATTATAATTTTTAATTAAAACAAAAAATTTGATAAATACTCAATTATTAAACAAAGAAGGATAGAAATGATTGGTATAAGTTAACAATATTAAAGCACAATGGGAATAAGTACTAAGAAGTTCAAAATCTCATTTTTTTTAAATTATAACAACAAAATAACAATATTTTAAAGGTATAATAAAAAAGAGATTTTTTAAAGCATATTTTCAAAAATTAAGTTTTTGAATTGCTTGTTTATTTATGTGAGGAAGAACTTTTCGGTGGTGTTCTACTGCACGTAAAAGAAATTCTTTCTGCTCATCATCTTTTGTAATAGATGTTGCATAGTCTTGAATTAGTTTTACAGCTCGTTCTGCTGTATCGTTTACAGATTTCAGTGATTTGATATGCTCAAACATGTGATTAAAATTTGTGTTAGTTTTCCAAAACTTTGGGGATTCTACCAACCAACCGCCATCCTCATTTGAATATCCGAATAAATTTAGAATGTTACTTGATTTTGGTCCAATTAAATCAGTCAAACAAGTACTCTGCTTCAGAAGAGGAAATTGTGGAAAGCCTATATCATGTTCACAGTTTTCTTTTATATTTTTCAGAATTATTTTAGCCATTTTAGTTTTATCTCGATCAGATACCTTATCAGAAAATAATGAAAGAGGGGACATTTCTTCAGTTAAATACCAAAGATGCCGATTAAATGTTTCCAGGGCAGCAACAGCAACATCATTGTCAATTTTTTTATAAATAAGCATTTCTTTGTAGAATTCCAGGTCATTAAATGGAGCATCGACTGTGCTTGTGCACGTAAGCCATATTTTCACATAAAATAGTAAAGTAAATTTACAAAACCTTGACAATTTCTCTATAAAACTTTCTTCATACTCTGCCAGGTCAGCAAAAGCAAACATCTTTGATGTGTACAAGATTGTACACATCCATCTAGCATGATGGAAGGCTCCAGGTTTGTGCCACTGTATATTTATTTGTTTTGGATTGAGTAATTGCAAAGCAAGTTGACAACATTCTCGATAATCATCTCTTAATATTTTTCGAGATTTCCGGTTAAGTAAACCAGACAAAAAAATTATTACTTCTGCTTTTTTGGTCTTTAATACTGGTTCTTCGATCTTTATTTTTCTAAAAGTAGTATCTGAAGTTAATGAAAGCTTAGGCCATACCTCATTTTTAAAGTGTCTAAATGGCTCATAATTTGGAGATCTGCATTCTCCAAAAACTTTGAAGTAAACAGATGACAAAACTCTTTCAAAAATATGGTGTCGGCAGGCGCACCAAAGTAACTTTTTGTTAAAGTGTTCTTCAATTAACTTTGCAGAACCATTTATCCAACCTGAATTTGATGGAGTTGTGTCAAAAATCATTGCCACAAGTGTTTTTTCCAGTTTCCATGTCTTTACAGCATCTATGGTAGCTGTTGCCTGACTTCGCCCAGTTGTATCAGGAATCCTGGATACACACAACAATTTCCCTTCAGGTGCACTTGGTTTTCCTGTTACAACAATAGCCAAACGTTCCACTTTACCATCGACCTCAGATACCAGCTTTGAATCCCAGTGAATGGAAGAGTACATGGGTGAAATGAATGTTTTCTTAAGATCATTTGAAACTTGCTGTCGAATTTTATTACCTGATCTGTACGCTGTGCTTTTTGAGATAGATATTTCATCTAAATTGTGACCTAATGCTTCAGCTACAGCTAAAATGATTCCAGATCTTTCTCTGTTGGATAGATTCAACCTATCAGCCATTAAGGAAACTTTAGGGTTTTCTAATATCTTGATTTTTTTTTTCTGTCTAGCAATAGTACTTTCTTCATTTTTATTATGAGTTTTGCCTTCATTATCAAATGCTGCCAATACATTGAAGCTTTTTTCTTTTATGTTTTCTTTTCTAGATTTCTCTTTTTCAATAGCCTTGATTTTATTTTTCTCTTTTTCCTCCATTCTTTTCACTTTCATAGCATAACTCTTGTCTAATGGGCCCAAAAATTGCTTTTTTAAGTGACGTTGATCTGAGAGAAAGTCTATATCTGAGATCTGACTATTGATACTACGCAAGGTATCTTTTCTTATCAAATTTTCGGCATTTGATGCTGCAATATCAAACAATAATGATAGTTTATTAGTAAAACTCAGAAGTTGAGCTGCATAACTTTTTTTTTTTGCATTTTTAATCAAGTTCTCTCTAAGATGAATCAGATGTAGTATCATTCTGACAATATCTTTCTTCTGTTTTATTGGAATTCCTGCCATTTTCCAAAAAACATAAACTTTTTCCCAAACTACAGATGCAACTTCTTTTTTACCAGTTAATTTCAATTCAAATCTTGTAAGATAAAGATAATGGCGTACAACATCTCCATTTGTTGGTAGCTGACTATACATCTTTGCTTCAAGGGTAGGTAATAATTTACCAACAATATTATCAAACTTCTCATCATTTTTCCTCAATTTACTATTTCTCATAACTGATCAAATATTTTTTATATATGCTATTATATCTATAGATAAAAAAGTAGCTATAAATTATAAAATTATTTGAATAATGTATGTAACATTAATATTCATCATAAAAAATTTTCTCATCTCAAGCATTGAATAATAATATTTAATAATTTTTGAGAATCGTTGAATTGAAACAAATTATGTTTACTAATATTAGCTATGATACATAGTTTAGAATTATAATAGTGATCAATATTGATACAAAACATATTTAATACATTTATATATTTAGCCTAAAATCAGTTTAAAAGTGAATAATTTTGAAAAAGTGGGCGGCAGAGGGGGTAAAAACTTTAAAAGAAGGGCGGGGGGGTCAAACTTCAAAATTTTTCAAAAATCTTCTTATTTTCACTTTTAACGGACAAAACTACACACAAAACTAAAGGAAAAAAAAAATTTTTTTTTTTTGGGACACCCTAATATATATATATATATATATATATATATATATATATATATATATATATATATATATATATATATATATACATACATATATATATATATATATATACATATATATATATATATATATATATACATATATATATATATATATATATATATATATATATATATATATATATATATATATATATATATATATATATATATATATATATATATATATATATATATATATACATACATATATATATATATATATATATATATATATATATATATATATATATATACATATATATATATTAAAATACTATATGGATTACCATTCCAGAAAACATTAAATAAACAACAATGAACACAAGATAATTTACCCTCCAAGAAAGCGCCCAACAAACAATGAAGAGGCAATCATACCAGCATAATATCCTGCAACAATAAATAATGAAGTTTTTTTTTCTTTTTCATATTGATAAACCTAAATTTTTATAAATATAAAGTACAAAAAAAAAACAGGCTCATGCTAGCAATATTATTTGGTATTGGATTCTGATTTTAGAGCAGAGTATGTAACTATTGTACTCATACTCATATCTTTACTCATACTTCTTACACATACTTCTGCACATTTAATTCAACACTGTCCTAATATATTTTACAAAATTAAATTTTAAAAATTTCAACATTTTCTATTAATTTTTTCTGGTAAACCTTCTAAATAGTAATATGACAAGATTTTTAAAATTTAATTTGTATTATTCAAAAACATTATTTTAAAAAATCTATATTAAAAAAAGCAAGTTAAAAAATTATGTTTTAAAAAAGCTTAATCAGCATTTTTAATAAAATTATATCTACAATAAAAATTTATAACTTTTATTTTAGATATTTTTTATAATTTTTTTTAAACAATTATTACTTTAATTTCTCAAATTAAAAAATTAAAAAATTTAAAACACACATACACAGCCCTTCCCAGGAAAAAATGTTTTGGCATTTTTATCAAAATGGCATACAATATATCACATAACTTTTAAAAAATGTCAAGCAATCTAAACCGCATGTGATTCTTTAAAAATAGTGAGTGTTATGGAATGTGCAGTGGCGTAGGAAGGTTGAGAAAGTTAGGGAGGGGGCTGAAAACATATATTAAAAAGGAAAAATATAGTGCCTAATAGGTTTATTTTTCTTAAAAAAATTTAAGAAAAATAAACCTATTTAACACTTTTATCTGTCAGAATGTTATGATATTATTTCAATGCCAGAATTATAAACAATCTTTAAAATATATACTTTAAAAGTGTAAAATATTATGCACTTTAATCTTGATTTCATTATATTTTAATTTGCAATTAAAGTATGATGAAATTGATATAATATTCTAATAAAAATAAAAATAAAATTATTTAAATTTATTAAATATATTTATTATTTACTTATTATTTACAACTAATTAATTATTATTTACAATTAATTAATACTTATTATATTTATCATATATTATTTAGTTCTTTTTTTTACTCTTTATATAGAGAACGATGGCTAAAAAAAAGACACAACAAGATCAAAAGTCAAGGTAACAAGGGACAAATCTGAGATTAATACATTGAACTGGTTAAACATCTGAAATAGTGTCAATGTTGTTTTTTATACTAGACATCTGCACCTCAAAATGATACAATAGAAACAAAATGAGAACTTAAAAAAATATAGTTTCAATAAAACTAATACAAAGCAAGATTTTTTTTTTTAATGAAAAAAAAAATAATGATACAAAATGATAGCCATGGATTACATTGTCAAATAGAATTTTCAATAGGATGCAAGAAAACACAGATTATTAATGCAAATCCATGCATCGATTATTTTACTGGTTCATGTTTTTTATACTCATATTTATATAATTTCATCTTTTAAGAAATAAAAAGATTTTAGTGGTTAGGCCAGGTTACTAGGCAAATAGAAAAATCTTTCATTGTGAAAATGTACTTTCAAAAACTGCAGTTTTTTCTCGCATGCTAAAAAAAGAAACACAAAAGGTAATATAACTTCACAGAGGCATGCATGTCAAGCCTTCCCAGGAAACCCATGCAGTTTTTTGTCTTGTATGACCACACGTATTTTATTTTAGGCAACTTGATCATGGCCATTTGCAACTTTTATTATACAAATCATTGAGGAAAAAACTAAAATTTAAAAACAAAAAAAAGGAAAACTAACAAAATAGGAAATAAAAAGAAATTTAAATAGAAAAAAAATTAATAATTTAAATAATTTGTGCACTGTTCTTATTTTTGTTTCTTTAGAGTGGTTGTTCTTTTCAGCAACAAAATTAGATAAAGCATTAGGAATTAATTAGGAAAAATAGGAAAAGCAAAAAAAAAAAACAGTTTTAAGTCTACATTAAAAAGAATTTCTTTTTTAAAAAAGGAAAGCAAAAATATAAATTGCAATGTGTTTGTAAAATATATTTCTATAATTTTAATGTAACAAGTATATACTGTCCCTATATGAAAATGTTTATGTAATAAATGCATATACTTTTTGTATTATATAATTATATTTATTTGATCATATTTACAAACAGTAAATGGGAACAAAAAAAAATTTTTTTTTATCCCATATACTGTTATAGTTCTTGTTTTCTTATAGGGACAATTTATACTTGTTACATTATAATTACACAAATATTTTATGAACAGATGGCAATTTATATTTTCACTTTTCTCTTTAAAAAAACAAACAAATAAAATATGGGAAAATCATTCTTTTTAATTTCAACTTAAAACTGTTTTTTTTTTTTGCTTTGGCTTATCAAATTTTGTTGCTGAAAATAATGACTACTCTAAAGAAACAAAAATAAAAACAGTACACAAATTAACAGTATATAAATTATGAAATTTTTTTCTTATTTTTAAGTTTATTTTAATTTCCTTTTTTGTTAGTTTTGCTATTAAAACTTTTTTCAGTATCACTTAATATAATAAAACTTGCAAATAAGCCATGATCAAGTTGTCTAAAATAAAATACTCATGCATGGACATACAAGACATAAAATGCACATGTTTTCTGGGAAGGCTTGTGACTGCACACTGTTTCTGGGAAAACTTCCACACATTAAAAAAATAAATATTTTTTGAATTTAGAATCACAGAAACAGATAAAAAATGCTTTTCTTATTAATTGCTCATGTCAAAAAAAAGCAAGCAATTTATGAAGTGATTACTAAATGCGTTTTCAAGGATTTCATATTTGCAATTAAATGTATCTTTAGGATTTATTGCAAACCAATCAAAAATAACTAATATTATTGCAACCAATTCAACTTTATTGCAAACCAATCAAAAATAACTAACTTTATTGCAAACTAATCTAAAATAACTAAATGTTAAACTATATTAGGAAATGAAAATAAAATTTCTTTAAATAAGAAATTAAATAGTATTTTTGTTTTGGAGGTGCTAAATGATAACAGCATTATTATGTAGTAAAAACTTTTAAAACAAACCTCTCTCTTTTTCATTATATCCAAAACTCTAAAAATAAAAACAAGACAAATAAATATTTTAAATATAAATATATATTATAAAAATTTATAATATATATTTATATATATTATAAATTTTTATAATATATATTTATAATTTGCCCGTTGTTATCAGTTATCATTTGTCATCAATAAGTCATTTATTATAAATTGTTTATTTTCATCACTATTGATGACAACTGAGTTAAGTTTTATGCCTGTTGGATGTCAGTTGAACCTCAAAAAAAGTAAGCATTAAATATAACTTTAAAGTTTTTTTTATTTTAATAAAACAACTTTTATTCAGAATGTAAAAATACTTACAGCAACCATAGCAGGTAAATAAGAAAAGGGTGTAGTTAAGGTGAGTTGAGTTGAAAACTAAAAAAAAATTAAATACATTTCTTAAAACATTATAAGCTAAACATTTTAATTATAAACTTAGATATATTATATAAAAGATAAAACTAGATATATATAAGATAAAACTAGATATATATAAGATAAAACTAGATATATATAAAAAAATAAAACTATTAGAACTTGAATTAACATTAAAAAATTTATCACAAAAATGTGTGCATTTTATTTAAAAAACATCCAATTTTTTTATTAAATCCAACCCTAAGTCACAGATTTTGCTGATTTTTACACCACTCAAAGATTTTAAGTTATGAACATCCACAAAATTTCATCATCTAATTCTAAATAGTTTCAAAAAATATAACTATTCAAAGTTTTTCATAAAACAACAAAAATCCACAATTAAAAAAATGGTTTTAATCTTTGTTTTACTACTGTGTGCAATGGAAAGCTAAAAAGATGTACACTTATCTACAAAAACAATTTAAAATATTTAAAAATAAACATAACACCTGCAACCTTTATTGGAATTTTACTAGGGCAAGTTGCTTTTTTATTTTATAGATGTTGTTCTGAATAGTTTAGTTAGAGTTGTTACAAAAAATTGGTTCTTTTCTTAAGCAGAAAAGACATGGTCAAATTGATATAAACTTGTTATTCTGAAAAATTAAAAGAAAAAAAGTGGGTCTCTTAGGTGCTTAATACACGGAAGATAATGTTTATTAGTTTTTGGAAAATTTTCCCAACCACCCTGAGCTTATTAAGACACCCTATATTTTACTTATTATGAACAAAACACCGTATCTTAAAACTTAAAAAAAAGTTATTATTTTCCAATTTTTGAGACCAGTTTAGGTCTTAAAAATTAGGAAAATATAAACTCTTTCATAGAAATAAAAATAAAGAATTCTTACCCTCCTGTTTATTAATACCCCCCTTATTTTTTATCTCCCCTTATTTATTACATTTGGACAAAAACTTGATTTGTCTTTTGATTGAAAGAGTTTAACAAGTTTATTATGGTAAATTTTGAGTGCAAGTGACCAGTATGTTTTATAATTATATCTCCTTCTTTAGTTACAACTTCCTCCACAACTCTAAATACACTTGAAAAAGATAGCGCAAAATTAGAAACCTCCTGAATTACCAATAATACTATTGCAGTACGTTGCCTAACTGGAAATCCCTCACCTATTGCTGTGAGAATTGTTTTCTTTAAAATATTTTTAGATTAAAAAAAAAACAGAGTTAGATTGTTTATATCTGCTTCATATTTCTTTCAGAATATAATAATCAATTTGACTATGAATTATCTTTTAATTTTATATCATATAAAATATGTTGTAGCACATATAATGTAGAAAGTGAACTCAGAACTTAGAACCTCTCGCTTGTAAATCGAGCGCTCTACCACTACACCACTACCACATAAGTTACTCTCAGGTGCTTATCACAAAGTGTGGTGGGAACAAAATGAAGGGTGGGAATTTTTATACAGATGCAATAAATGGCTCCCCCACTTATTACATCTATATGGGAAAGGAAGAAGCAGGGGAAAGGAAGAGGGGGAAAAAGAGTCTTAATAAACAGATGACAGGGAATTTTTATTTTTATTGCTATAAGTGAGTTTATGTTTTCTAATTTTTAAAACCTAAACCGGTCTTAAAATTTAGAAAATAAAAATTGAATTTTTTTTTTTAGTTTTGACAGTTTCTTTGTTCATAACAAGTAAAATTTAATCAACATGGGGAGGGGATCTTAATAAGTTTAAGTTGGTTGAAAATTAATGAACATCAACTTCTGTGTATTAAGCACTTAAGAGTACCACCTTTTTTTTTCCTTTAACTTATCATAATGCCTGTTTTATAAGTGACAAATTTCTTACTTATAAAATGAGCTCTAAAAATGTTATTTTTGAGAAAAAAATTAAGACTTTTAAGTTAAAAAAACAATCAATTTTTGAAACCAGAGTCCTTAGGTATAATGGCAACAAGGACTCTAAGACTCCGGGCTTAAAAACATATAAAGCCAGAGTTTTTCTGGAAACTACTGCAAAGTACAGGAAACTTAATAATCTTATTATTAATAACTTCAAAACCATCAATCTGAGATTGATGAAAGGAGAATAAGCAGCATAACTATTACCAAGAAAACATAAACAAAAACCTATGAGTAAAGTCAAAAAGATCCCAAATCTAACAGTTTAAGATCGGCAATAAATTGTCGACCTTAAACTGTTATAGGTTAGCATCAGGTCAGCACAAAATATTTGACACAAAGGGGTTACCATAAAACATAGAAACAAGGTCAGCAATTTTTTACCGAACTCAAATACTTTTAGATCGGCATTTAGGTCGACATTGCCAAATGTCGACCTTAATTCCGAGGGCTGTGTCCATAATAAATGTTATTGTCATTGAGACACCATCTCTGGCCTTAAACTAATCCAATAGCCTTTAATTAAGAGCGCTAAAGTAAGAAAGTAATAAAATGTGTAAGTATTGCAATCAAAGCAAGTATTAAAAAAAAAGACAACACGAAATTCATAAAAACAAATGTGGAAAATCATTAATTAAAGCAGTTACAGAAGTAACAATGAGTATTGGATAAGAAAGTAAAAATAGTAATATAAAAAAAAAAAAAAAAGAAACAAGAATAAACTAGAAGCGTTTAAAAAGTTGTACAATAAGAAATTTTTGCAAAATCAAATCTAGCAAACTAAAATCTGAGAATCAAAACTTAAAACTTAAGAGTGGAAATTCTTGAAAAACCATGGCAACCTAAGACAATTTATTATACTTAACACACTTAAAATTAAAAATTAGCAAGCTAAAAAAAAGGAGAGAAATATTCTTATTTTTGAAACAAAAAGTATAAAAGTAAAGAAAAATGTTATTGATGAAATTCTCCATGAAATTGGAGCCATTATAAAAGTATCTTTTTATTAGAAAAAAAAAGTATCCTAATACACATATTTTAGTACCCTAAAGTAAAATATTATAAGATTTAAAAACGCAGCAGCAAATAAAAGTTCTCCAATTTTGATAGAACTTTCCTTAAAAGTGGAAAAAATAAAGTGGAAAAGAAGTATTGAAAAAGTGTAAAAACCTAAGAAACTCTAAATCCACAAGAACAATTAGTGGTCCAGGTCCAGGTCTAAATCAAATCAAATATATTTTTAAAGTCAAAATGACAAGCTAAATAAGCTGAATTTTGTGTGCATGCTTTTTTTGGGCAACAAAATATATTAGTTTGAAGCTTGCATAAAGTTAGTAAAAATAGATATTTCTATGATAACTAAAATGTTTACAGAAACCTCTAATGCTGCAATAAATGTATTCAGAAAAGGTAGAGGAGGCAAAATGGCTACCTCCTCTTTTTATTATACACAACTTACACAATTATAAAGCTTATATCAACTTTACAATTGTGTATTTAATAGACAAAGTTTTATTAGGTTATGACGAGATTGAACAAATATGATGCTGTTCAAATATCAATAGAATTAAAAATTTTAATTAATATATTTATAGATCACCTAATTTTGATGTAATCATAAATTGTAAAATTAATCAAAGTATTTATAATCCAAATCAAATGGTTTTAAAAAGTAAAAATAATAACATTTTATTTGCAGATTTGGAAAAAGGTAGTTAGAAATGCATAACTATTCAGAAAGAGTTTATAAAATGCTAATGAATATTTTCTTTATCAACTAAGTGACAATTCCATGTTTTATTGATGCTCTGAAAATGTAACAAATATTCTGGATTTACTTATAACAAACAAAAAAACTAAAAATTTAAATATAAATATGAAACCTCACGTAGACAAAACGAAGCAAAGTTATCTTATACTAATGTGAATTTACGATACTTATAAAAATTAAGATTTTCCATAAGTATACAACTTACAAAACCCTACATCAAAGAAATTTGGAGTTTAAGTTCTAGAGCTTGAAAAAAAAATTAGAATTGAATTGCAAATATAATCCAAAATTGACTTACTCTAAATGTAATACAAAATTGATTTCAATAACAAATAGAATTCAGTAAAATCAATAAAAACTAATCAGAAAAAAACCACAGACAGAATAGAGATGTGCAAAATATTAAACAATAAATTCGGTTAATCATTTGTAGAGGATAACTGTCACCATAAGTCACTTTATATAAATTATATGTTAATGTTTTTTTGACCCTCTGGCGCAGTGTTCATCCACTCATAATTCACTATTTATATGTATAAGTTTATGTTCAGTCGCCTGTAAGTTCCTGCTTGTTTATTTGATTATTAATTTTATTAACTTTGACGATTATTATTTTTTTAATTATATTGAAAACGCAGTTGTTGTAAAAAGTCTTATTTTTATAAAATCAATCAAACAAACATTTTTAAAAGATTTATATTTAAAGAGTAATAGAAATTATTCTATATTATTATTTATATAATTATTTCTTATATTTATTAACAATACTTGTTAAAAACAGATAGTATAAAACCGGTTATATAACTGATAGGACCTTGTATAAAACCAATAGGTTTTATTGCGCATTAGATAAAGGTGGAGAGGTTAAGGCCATCACTCTTGACATTTCTAAAGCGCTTGATAAAGTTTGGCATGCTGGTCTTTTCCATAAACTTTCTTCTTACGGTGTATCTGGAAACATCTTTAAGATTATTAAATCCTTCCTTTCCAATCGTAGTATAAAAGTTGTCCTTGATGGACAGCACTCTTCTTCTTATTCTGTAACCTCAGGAGTTCCTCAAGATTCAATTCTTGGCCCTATACTCTTTTTAATTTACATTAACAATCTTCCAGATCTTAATCTTCCAAATCTTAGTCTTACATCTAAGGTGGCATTGTTCGCTGATGATACTACCGTTTATTCTTGTCATGATAAGAAGCCAACACTCTCTGATTGCTTGGAGGGTGCATTTGAACTTGAAAATGATCTAACTTCTGCTACAGCATGGGGCTTACAGTGGTTGGTGAACTTTAATTCAGATAAAACTCA